TGGGGTCAGGGGGTGAGGCAGGTTATAGGGATGGTTTAGGAGGTATTGGGGGGATGGGGTCAGGGGGTGAGTCAGATTATGAGGATGGTTTAGGGGGTACTAAGGGAGTGAGATCAGGCGATGAGGCAGGTTATACGGATGGTTTAGTGGGTACTAAGGGAGTGGGATCAGGGGGTGAGGCGGGTTATAGGGATGGTTTATTGGGTACTAAGGGAGTGGGATCAGGGGGTGAGGTGGGTTATAGGGATGGTTTAGGGGGTGCTAGGGGAACGGGGTCAGGGCGTAAGGCAGGTTATAGGGATGCTTTAGGGGGTACTGGGGCGATGGGATCAGGGGTTGAGGCAGGTTATAAGGATGGTTTAGGGAGCACTAAAGGAGTGAGATTAGGGGATGAGGCAGGTTATAGGGATGGTTTAGTGGGTACTAAGGGAGTGGGATCAGGGGGTGAGGCGGGTTATAGGGATGGTTTAGGGAGTGCTAAGGGAGTGGGATCTGGGGGTGAGGCAGGTTATAGGGATGGTTTAGGGGGTGCTGGGGTGATGGGGTCAGGGGGTGAAGCAGCTTACAGGGGTGGTTTAGAGGGTACTGGGGGGATGGGGTCAGGGAGTGAAGCAGGTTTTAGGGGAGGCTCCAGAGGATCTGGGGAAATGGGGCCAGAGAGTGAGATGGGCTACAGAGATGGCTCAGGGGGGGTTGGAGTAACAGGCTCAAAGCCTGGAGGGGCATATGAGGGTGGTCCCAGAGGCCAAGAGGCCATAGGCTGCAGGTCAGGATCTTGGGCAGCATCAGAGGGGTCTGACGGTGGCACAAGCTCCAAGGATGGTGCAGACAGGGGCCGGGGAATGGGGCCTGTGGATGGGGCACATCCTGGGGTGGGCTCTGCAGGAATGCTTGGTACTGCAGACAGCCCAGGACACAGGGACAGCCCCAGGGGCCCAGGGCTGCTAGGGACTCACGGAGGGCCACGGATCCTTCCAGATGGGCAGGGCTCCAAGGGTGGTCTTGGGGGATCTGGAACCTCGGGGTCCCTTGAGGCATTGGGGGCTCTTGGCTCTAAGGGAGAATCAGGTGTCCGAGTATGGCAGGATGGCTCTGGGACCCCAGGGTCTCCTGGGGCCAGAGAAGTTCCCGGTAGGAAGGGCAGCTCTGCAGACCAAGCAGGGGGTGTGGGGACTTCTGGGTGTCTTGATGGTCAGGGAGCAGTGGAGGGTGATGCCTGGGCAGGGACAGCTGCTCCGGACTCTGGACACAAACGGGACTTCTGGAAAGCAGGCCCAGGGACAGCAGACAGGGGTAGAGCTGCTGGCTCAGGGGCATTGGCCCCTCAGGGAGCTGGGGATGCACTGCTGGGGGGCAGGAGGATGGGAGCAGGGTTGGGGAGATCAGCAGGCGCAGGCCAGGTGCTGGACGGCAGCGGGATGCCCGGGGAAATGGGCAAATCAAGGCTGGGGTCTGCTGATGCGGGAGGGGGGAGCCGTGCTTGGGCCCCAGGCTGGGAAGACCAGGGGTTTGGCCAAGACAGCATTGGTGCTGGGAAGCAGCCCCCAGGCTCCAGGGCTCCCAGTGCTCTGCAGGAGAAAGATGCCACTTTCAGTGGGGCCCATGAAGGGTCAGAGGCCTCCAGGGGTGGGGAAGGGGCTCCAGGCCAAGAAGAGGCTGGTGGATGGCGAGGCTCACGGGGTCTGGACAGCAAAAGTTCAGGCGCTGGAAGAGGCTGGTCCAGTGGCCCAGGGGACGCAGGTGTCCTGGATAAAGAGACTTCCAGTTACAGGGAGAATGGCTTCACCCCAAAACCTGGGGATGCAGGACCTCAGGGAGCCTGGAATGGCCTAGATGGTCCCTTTGGCAGAAAAGACTCTGGAGACAGATCAGAGGGTGTCCAGGGCATGGATGCTCAGCCAGGCAAAGGGCTGAGAGGAGGAAGGGGATCCCTGGGGGGTCAGGGGTCCCTGGAGGCTGAGACTGACAAGGCCCAAGGTCCAGGTGCCCTAAAGGAGTATGAGGGGTGGGGAGCAGAGGAGTCCAGCAGGTCAGACGGGAGGCCTGGTGCACGCAGGGGCAGGGCTCAAGCACAGTCAGGGGCCGAGTTTGGAGACTCAAAGAGAGGAGGAGCGGATGAGGCCAGAGGCCTGGGGCGGCTGCCTGGAGAGTGGGGCAGAAGGGGCCTGGGGGAGGCTCTGCATCAGGACTGGAGCCAGGACCCCCCAAGTCATCCTGGCAGCAGGAGAGGCGGCAGAGAGGCCGGGTTGGACGCCAAAGGCCAGGCGCAGGATGCCACCCAGAGTCCCAGATCCAGATACAAGCCTGGCACTGGCCGTTTCTCCGAGGAAGCCCGAGGTAGGTATTTCTCAGCCGGGCTGACTCCAGGGGATAGAGCCAAGGGGACCCCCTGGACACTGGGATTCCTGGGTCGGTCCCCATTCTGTCTCCAGCCCCAGGAGTTTGTCCCTACCAGTGTTCCCATTTTCAGGGATCTCTTCCCAATCCGGGAAGAAACCTCTTCCTCCTTGTGTAGGGGATCCAGGCTGCGTGGGGCTCAGGAGTATCCTGGGTGTGCGTCTTGACCCCCTATGTCCAGATCACTGGAGTTGTTGGACTAACCCTCTGCGGGTTACCCAGACTTCCCGTCTGTGTGACTCGGGGGCTCCTCCATCTTGCCTTGCACCCAGATCTCCCGCACCAGCGTAGGCCCTGCAGGAAACATGGGAGGTTCGGCTTTGCTGGACCTGGCTGAGCCCAGTTGGTGGGGCGTGGTGGCCTCCAGGGCGCAGTGCAGCCATGGCCTGGGAGGCTGGGCCTTGGGGGAGTCCCTGTGTGACCAGCCCCAGACGCACCCTGTGTCTCCCCAGGCCCCATGGGCCACTTCTCCCAGGGCCTGGTGGACACGGAAGCGCAGCAGGGGGAGGACGCCATGCTGTCTTGCACCCTCACCCGCGACCTGGGACCTGGGACCTGGCTTAAGGATGGGGTCAAGGTACTGCCACCCCTACCTCTTTACTGACCCAGTTTGAGGGATGAATGAGGTGAACAGAAGAGAAAAGGGTAGAGGCTTTGCAAGAAAGATTTTTCTTTCTTTGCAATGAAGACTTTTCATTCTTCATTTTACTCAGGCACCTGCCCTGGGAGCAGTCTAAATAGCTAGCACCTCGTGTGTTGAGAATAAACCGGGTTTTGCAATGGACATGTACCCCACTCGCTCCTCCCTCAACACGCCCCTTGCCCTCCTGCCATCCAGAATGCCCTTCTGTCCCCACACCTGTTGAACTCTCCCCATCCTTCAAGGCCTCGTACAGATGCCGTCTGCTCAGCCCAACCAGACGGGACCTCTCTTCTCTCTGAGGGGCCCCTCTGTCTCCCTCTCTGGCTGTCATCTCAGGAGGAGGGGCACCCCAGTGGTTTGGAGCACAGCTAGACCTGGCTCAGATCCCAGCTCTGCCACTTCCCCCTCAGGTGACCTCTGGTTTCCTCGTGTATAAAATGGGCTAATATGGTTCCGACTTCATGCTGTTGGTGGAACAACTGAGTGAGATACTTAACACAGAGAGCACTGGCACGTGCCTGCATTAGTACCGGGCCTGGAGGAGCTGGGCGGGGTGGGATGACCGGCTCCTCTGTGCCTTGTTTCCAGCTCGGCACCCGGGATGGAGTCGTCTTTGAGCAAGACGGTCTCGTGCACAGGCTCCTCATTGCCCATGTGCAGGGCACCCAGGCCGGGCGGTACACCTTTGTCGCCGGCAGCCAGCAGAGCGAGGCCATGCTGACTGTCCACGGTGAGACCTAGCCCTGCCAGCCCACTCGGCGGTCTCCCTGCCCCAGAGGATACATCCCCCTTCCCAACACCCAGATGTGTGGCTTATCTGCAGCCAGTCTAACCTCATCCTCAGTCTGAGAAGATGATTTCAAAAAGCCAGCCCTCCCTGTCCCTTGTCAGGAAGTCCTCGTTGGGGTCTAATCCTGGTCCCCTCGGCTGCAGAGGAAGCCCATTCATCCCCTGTTAGTCCTCAGGAGGTGGGGAGGGGTTCTTTTTTCTTACCCAAACTTCCCTCTCCGGTTCCCTCTTCCCCAACCCCCCCAGAGGCTCAGAGCCTGCCCTTCTTTGACCCCCTTGCCCTGTTCTGTCCCTAGAGCCCCCTGTTATCGCTCCCGATGTGGCAGAGAAACTGAGAGAGCCACTGGTGGTCAAGGCTGGGAAGCCGGTGACAGTGAAGATCCCCTTCCAGAGCCGCCTCCCCGTCCAGGCTGCCTGGAGGAAGGATGGGGCGGAGCTGGGGGGCGGCAGCAGCGGGGGTGCCCAGGTGACCCTGGGGGACGACTTCACGCGGCTGTGCCTCCCCAGTGCCAGCAGGAAGGACCGCGGCCAGTACAGCGTGACGCTGAGGAGTGAGGGAGGCTCCGTGCAGGCTGGGCTCACCCTGCAAGTCTTAGGTGCCAGTCTCAGCCTTCTCCCCAGCAAGGCCTGAGGGTCCCGGGGTTCTGGGCCCTCCCTGCCAGCAGGCACAGCCCGGGGGCGGGGGGTCCCCTGGCTCTGCTCCTCATTTGCATGCTGTCCTCTGTCCCCTCCACAGACTGGTTAGGAAGAAGCAGTTTAGACAAATAAAGGGCTGGGCTGGCACTGGGAGAAGGGACCGTTGTGCTCTGAGAGCTAATACACTGGGCCCTCGGGAAGTTGCTGGGGTGGACGGTGGCCTCCAGCCTTGAGTGGTGCCCTCCACCTCACCTGGTGTATGTGGGTGTGCTGGGGGGGAGACCAGGAACAGCTCTAGGTAATGCCCACTTGGGCGCCCCACCCCATTGCCAGCTTATGAACTGATGAGGGGGAAGTCCCACAGTGCTCCCCTCCAGCTCCTCTGACCCCCCCCTTCTCTTCCTGCTCCTCTTGGTGGGTCCCAGACAAGCCCCAGCCCCCACAGGGGCCCCTGGAGGTGCAGGATTGCCAGGGGGCTGGTGTCTGCCTCCACTGGCGACCCCCGCGGGATGACGGGGGCCGGGCTGTGGAGCACTACATGGTGGAGAGGCGGCAGGCCGGCAGGAGCACGTGGCTGAAGGTGGGCGAGCCCCCTGCGGACAGCACCAACTTCACCGATGCCCACGTGGAGCGGGGCAAGAAGTACGCCTTCCGCGTGCGGGCCGTGACCTCCGAGGGGGCTGGGGAGGCCCTGGAGTCTGCGGAGGTGTTGGTGGCTCCTGAGGGTGAGAGGCTGGCGCTGGGGGTGGGGAACAGTCCCGGGTTCCCCACTGTGCCCAGAGGATGAGTAGGTCTGCCTTGGAGGCTGAGAACACCAGACAGTGCCCTGGGGTCTTGAGGCCCTTCTAGAACACTATGGAGACTCCTCACCTCTGCTGCATTCAGGATCTCACAGGTGGATCAGCAAGCAAGATCAATGGGGTCTTCTCCCAGCTGTGGCAGTCCAGGAGTGGGAGATGGACAAGCAGAGCCACTCTCTTAGGACCTTGGGTGGGGCGAGCATTGTCCTCCACCAGAGGACCCTGTCTGGAGGGTCTCTCAGGGGACTTGGGCCTGAGGGGCCTCAGGGCCGCCTGTAGATTCCTAGGCCACAGGACTTCCCTGGTCCCGTCATTGCTGCCCCCAAACAGCCAGAACAGTGTCCCAGAGCAGGCCAGCTCGGCCCCCTGACCCTGCTCGGGGAAGGACAGTGTGGCCCGCCCCCAGGGGCCCCCCTCCTCCCCCAGGACATGCCCAAGAGCTGGCCCCTTTCCTTGGCCTCTGGCTGACTGGCACCTTCTCTGCCCCCAGCTCTGCCCGGGCCACCTTCCACCCCAGCCATCGTGTCAGCCTCCAGGCAGGCCATTACACTGACGTGGACAGCGCCTCGGGGCCCTGGCAGTGCCCACATCCTGGGCTACCTGATTGAGAAGCGCAAGAAGGGGAGTCACACCTGGACAGCAGCAAACGACCAGCCCGTGCCTGGTGAGTGGCCTGAACGGACGCTCCATGTCGTCCCGGTCTGTGAAGCTCCCCTAGACCCCCTCTGGGCTGCAGGGCCCCGTGGCGGCGTCATGCCAGATCAGTCTAGCACCTGGGCCTCACCTGGGGCGGTGCTGCCCCTGGGGACATTTGGCAAAGTCTGGAGACAGTTTGGGTTGTCATGACTGGGGTGCGGGAAGGTGAACAGTGGCATCTGGCGTGAGAGGCCAGAGAGGCTGCCCAACATCCTACAGCACACAGCACAGCGCCCTCCCTGCCCCTGCTCCCCAGCAAAGAATTGTCTGAGAAATGTCAGCAGTGCCGCGTTTGGGAAACCTGCTTTAAGAGAAGAAGTCTCAGGACGGAAGCCAGAGATGGAGCTGTAGGCCCCCGCCCCTCTCCTTCTGGCCTTGACCGTGGGCAGCTCACTCCTCTCTCTATATCTTTGCTTCCTCAACCGTAAATTGGGGGAGAAGCGTCCCCTGCCCACTAAGCAGATTCCAAGGAACTGCCTTCTGGGATCAGAAAAAACAGAAAAGCCCACGCCAAGGCTTGTAGAGGAAAGAACAAGCTCAGAGTGCCAAGCATGTTGTGAGGAGACCCGGTTTCCAGCCAGGCCTGAGCTTCTTAGGAGCTGAGGCCTCTCGGGGCCTCAGTTTCCCCAACTCTGGAAGGAGGGAGCTGTACTGAGGGCATCCTTCCAGCGTTACTACGTTGTGGTTCCGTTTTATTTTAATATGACAACAATGCTGTAAGGCACAGAATCAGAGAGGTAAAGGTGCTTGCCCAGGATCACCCAGAAAGTTAGTGGCAGGACCAGCAGGGGTTCGGAGCCTAACCCCTCTGCAGTGCTCTCTCCCCATTGGAGAAAATTGAGCCACACCGGGCGGGCTGGATCGGGGGAGGGATGTGTTCGGGCCCAGGCTTGGTCTTTTCCAGAACTCGGAGATACTGAGCTGTCCGTCTCCCCATGGCCCAGTCCCATCAGGGTGGGACTGACACGGGGTGGGCTTTCCACAGAGAGGAAGTGGACTGTGGTGGACTTGCGGCAGGGCTGTCAGTATGAGTTCCGGGTCACGGCCGTGGCTCCCTCTGGCCCTGGAGAGCCTGGGCCCCCGTCGGATGCCGTCTTTGCTCGGGACCCCATGAGTAAGTAGAGCACCAGGCTGGGATGAGGAGGTGGTGGTGGTGAGCAGAGGATGGCTCTGGAGCCGGTGGCACAGGACAGGAGGCCACGGGTCAGGGCAGTCCTGAAGGAGAGGGCAGGAGGGCTGGGGGATAAAGATCGGAAGGCCTCTGAGGGGTGGCGTATCATAGGGGCCCAGGGGAGGTATAAGCCCCCGATCTGAGCTCAAACAGGCCCAGGCGCCAGGCGGTGGGAATTACAACTCCTTCCCAAGATCACTCCACTCACTCTTCAGCTCTGGGCAGGCCAGTCCTATAACCATCCTCACCCCATCACTTTGGGGCAGGTGAGGGACCACAGGGGAACCTCACCATCAATTCTCTATCCAGCAATTATTTGCTCATCCTCAGCGAGGTGGCAACATGGTGCCAGGAACTGGGTGAATAACCTGGTCTCTGCCCTCGAGAAACTTCCCGTCTAGAACAGCATTTCCCCATCTGGGGTCTTGGGCATCAGGGTACCAAGAGATACCAGAGATGTTCTGAGAACAACAGAAACAGCAAAAACAGGTCTGAGAGCCAAGATGTTTACGACATGTAGCCTATGATACTTTCAAGTCGTACAGGAAAGAAACCCTTCCTACTTTGTTTGATCCAAGTTTCCCTGATCCGAGAATACCTTTTCCACACAACACCTGTCAGAAGCTTCCCTCCAGGCCTACAGCTTGGGACGGGCTGCTCTGCGTACCTCTCAGGAGCCTCTTGTTGTCTTATGAGCCAGCCGGTGACTGGACGTCCAGGGGCTGCATGTTTCTGGTGCTTGCTGGATCGGCCAGGTGGTCGACACCTCGAGGGCACCTTTGTGTCCCCTCAGGGCCTGGCACACCACAGGTGTTCAGGCTGTTGGAATGAATCCAGCAAGAACAGGACATTATACGAGTTTAGTTGATCAAGTGGCATCTACGTTGTGGTCCTAGAAAGGGCAGAGTGTGGGGTTGGGGGACGACGGAGGAGAGCTGATCCACGCGTCTCACTCCTTGCCGATGGCCCAGGCCCATCCTACTCGATCCATCGCGCTCTCTCGCTCAGAAGTGACGGGAAGGAGACAAGGGATGAGCAGTGTCCCATAGTCGCACCCCAACCCCGCATTTTCTAGACCTTGTTGCTGAGCATGGTCCCCTGACCAGCAGCACAACCTGGGGGCTTGTCAGCAAGGCAGACTCTCGGCCCTCACCCCAGACCTACTGAATTAGGATCTGCAGGTTTAACAAAATCCCCAGGTGATTTGTACACAAATTAAAGCTTGAGACACGGGGCCCTAGCCCAGCGGTTCTCAGACTTCACTGCACGTTTAGAAACAGTGGGGAGCTCTTAGAGATCCCGCTGCCCAGCCTGTGCTCTGGACTAATTAAATCTGAGTCTCTGGGGAGGGACCTGGACGCTGGTATTTTTAAAGCTCCTGGGTGATTCCATGTGCAGCCAGGTTTGAAAGCCGAAGCCCTGGATGGCTGTGCAATTGACTAAGCCCTTTTGCACTCATCAGACCTTTGTTCGCAAATCCTCACAGGTGGGCAGGGCCTGTGTTATTATGGTTCATTCCCAGGTCACAGGTGAAGAATGAGAAGTATGGACCGAGGTCCCAAAAGGCAGTCAACTAGGAGCTCAGAGTTCAGAATAAAAAGATAAAGAATTCTAGTCTTCAGGGATCTTGGAGCCTAAGAAGTCATCAACTAAATTCCACATTTCAGGAGTTAAGGAAAGAGAGTTAAGGGAAGGGGGTTGGCGGGTTGGTGAATGAGTGGAATGAGTTGGGGAGGGCTTGCTGGAGGAGGTGAGCTGGGATCTGTGGTGCATGACTGAGGCAGAGTATGGGATGGAGTAAGGACTGGGTTCCAAGAGGGCGCTTCAGGAGAGTCTAGAGTCGGAATCCCCAAGTGAGAGAAGTCCGCAGCTTCCCACAGGAAAACCGATGAACAGCCACACACAGTGGCCACCCTCAGGGGAGGGTGACAGCATCCCTGACCTTCCCGTGGTGTCTGGCCAGGACCTCCAGGGCCCGTGCGGGACCTCCGAGTCACAGACACGTCGCACACCAGCATCACGGTGAGCTGGGCCCGGCCGGACGCTCAGGAGGGGGATGAAGCCCAGGGGTACGTGGTGGAGCTATGCGGCTCGGACAGCCTCCAGTGGGCCCCGTGCCATTTGGGCACCGTGCCAGGCACCAACTACACAGCCAAGGGGCTCCGGCCCCGAGAGGGCTACTTTGTGAGGGTGACAGCGGTTAACGACGGGGGCCGCAGCCAGCCCACCACCCTGGATACGTTGGTGCAAGCTGTGCCCTTTACTGGTGAGTGCCACCTCCCTCCTCCACTGCAGGCCTGTCGAGAGGGGCCTCCGAGCGCGTCCATGCGCTTTGCAGGCCAGGACCCCCTCCCTGGTTTAATGAGGTGTCACGTATGAGCACCTATTGTGAGCGAGGCTCTGGGCCAGGCAGGCCCTTCAGAGATGTTTCCTCATTACAACTCATAAAAATCCTACAAGGTTAATGTTTTATCCCCAATTTACAGATAAGGAAACTGAGGTCAAAGGTACTCTACCCTGGCTTTCACCACTGCTACGTGGCAGAGTCAGGATGTAACCCACCTGACCGATTCCAAAGTCCAGTCTCCCTCCAGCGTTCTTTGCTGCCCCCAAGCTCAGCCTAAGAAGGCACGAGTGTTGCTCGCCCGTGCGGTTCATGCTCAGAGTCGAAGCCACCCAGCTCCCTGTTATCGGACCGTGGAGTGGAGTGTCCTTCCCCCGGGTCTTTAACTGCTGGAAGCAGCTGACCCTTCTTTGATCCGAGCTGACCCTGGGCCATCCCAGCAGATCCTAGTTGTCACTGTGACATAAGGGAGACGTGTATGGTGATAAGCACACGGCACCTGGCCTCTGGAATCCCGGGTCTTGTCCTGGCTCTGTCCCTGGCTCAGCGTGGCCTCAGGCCTGTCACTCCCTGTCTCGGATGGGGGTCCTCTCATCTGCAGAAGGGAAGAGCCGGGCTCATTTTCACTGTCCTCTTCTGTCCCAGCCTCCCCCTCCCCCTCTCCCTGGTGGCTTCCCTTTGTCAGCACCCGTCTCTCTCCTGCCAGCCTCTCCCCACCAGCTCCTGCGAGTCCCAACTTCTTCCCTAGTTCCTTTGGGGCCCCCCCATTAGATCTCAGCATCAACTAGGCTGGCCCAGCCTTCCCCTCGGGGCTGGGCCCCAACTGCAGAGGGAGGTGACAGCCATCCTGTGTGTTCCAGTCTGTCCCAAGTTCCTCCTGGACTCCAGCATGAAGGACTCGCTGGTGGTCAGAGCTGGGGACACCATTCGTGTTCCTGTCTCCTTCGAAGTGAGTACCCCTGGTGGGGTGTGGGGAGCGGAGCCCAGAGCAGACAGGGAGCTGGGCTCAACCCTGCAGCCCTCTTGTCTCCCCTGCTCCTTTATGGGCCCTGGTCAGTGACCTGAGCTTGTGCTGGAAATCAGGCCAGCCGTGAGGAAGGGGGGAGGAGGGTCCTGCTTGAAGGGGCAGCCCACCTGGCCACTGGTGGCCGTTCTGCTCGAATCCACAAACCTCTGTCATGGTAGCTTCCAGTACTGCATCTCTAAACGAGGGCACCCGCTTTTCTCCACCTCCCCTTAGTCTGGGGGTTCAGGGGTCCTGCAGTTCGTGATCCCCTTTGACTTCAGAGTGTGTATTGTGCAGGCACATGACCTGCACGTGACTTGGGATGGTTCTCGAGCACTGCCACGTGTCTCTGCACATATAGCACGGCAGTGCAGTGTGCTGGTCAGAAGCACGGACGTCCTGGATTCAAGCCCCGGCGTCCTCACTCACTAGCTTTTCGACTGTGGATGAATATCCTAACCTCTCTGTGTTCCCACTTCCTCGTCTGTCAAATGGGGATAATTATAGTAACCCGTCTCAAAGGGTTCACGGAATTAATGCATTGAAAGCGCATTGAAACAGGGCCTGGCGAGTGGCAAGCACCCAGAGGGTATTAGCCACAACTGTTAGTATTAAAGTCATCACCATCATCATCATCGTCCGTGTGGGAAGCTCACAGGTGGCAGAGCCGGGTTCAAACCCAAGTCTAACCCTAAATTACATGCTCTTGACTATTAGACCACAATAGTGACAGTGACGATGATGACAAAGTATTTAACGCACACTGGTGTGTACTAGGTCTTGGGCCCTGCTCTCTGTGCTTTCTGTGTAAAATTAATTGACTTCTTGACTCCTCAGAACAATCCTGGGAGGCGAGTTACTGTTCGCATCCCCACTTCACTCTGAGCCTCATGTGCCCAGTGCTGAGAGTCTGAGGGGAGTTGGTGGGCAGCCATCACGCAGCTGGACTGGCCTCCCACCATGGACAGGCCAGTCCTCCTGGGCTACTGCAGGGATCCACAAGTCACCACACTTGGTCTTGGGCACCAGGGTGCTTAGCACTCCCCTCTCCATGAGTCCCCCTCAGTCCCATCGGCCTAGCTCCCCCTGGCCGTGGGAATCCAGATCTAATTATGTTTCCCTGCTCAAAACCTTACACCAGCAGCTCACTGCTTACAGAAGAAACTCCAGATGTCTGTATGGGTGTGATGCTGAGGGCACTTAGCATTTTTGCCTGACTCCTCCATCTAGCTTCCTCCCCTGTCCCCCAGCCCCGTCCACACCCACCTGCAGCTGGCCAGTCACCCAGCCTCTCAGCTTCCTCCCCTGTCCCCCAGCCCCGTCCACACCCACCTGCATCCCACAGTCACCCAGCCTCTCAGCTTCCTCCCCTGTCCCCCAGCCCCAAACACACCCACCTGCATCCCACCAGTC